CCTGAAAAGACTGACAATTATTTCATTTAAACTTCTGTGTAACACAAGTCTACAGAATCGCTATGTAACAACTATACATTTTCCTCATCGTAACTTCTTCCTAGCTTTTGTATTGAAGATTTGAAGAAACGGGAATGTCCCATTCCCGAATCAGTTCCCTTACTAGTCTAACGCAGTTTAAATCATCTTCACAGTTACTTTTTGTCTGTATGTTTTCAAATTCTAGCTATTGAATTTTCCTTTCTCTGATAGGTTGAGAATCCAACAGTATATCTACTGATACACCTTCTGAAGCCTGAAAGTCTCTCCAGGTTCCTGTTCCTTATTTGACAGTTATTGGTATTTAAATAATATTTCATTTTGACTGAACATATAGAAAGCGGTTTTTCTTGCTTCACATGACCGTGAAATGAAGCAGCTATTTTTCTACTTGAGCAGACAGCTTGTAAATTTTTTCTTGGACAGGAAAGTAGAACACTGAATTTAAGATTAAAAAAAAAAAGTTATTTCAGTCAATGCTCTGTTAGTTATAACAGGTTACTTTCTTCCCATTCTAACAAGTAAGTTTGTTATCTTTCAAGCCTTTGGATAAGGAAGAACCCAAAACAATCAAAAAACCCCACCCTGGAAAACCTCCTTACTCTTCTCAGAATAATTAAAAAAAAAAAAAGTATGGATTTACTTCTGCCACCTCCTATGCATAACACTGAATCTTGACTTCTCCTTACAACTACTCAAAATATTTTTCTGTGCTCATTTTTTTTGTAGTAGTCATAACCACACCACAGATGATTTTGAAATCTAATCTCAAAAAGCTAAATTCACATCAGCAGATGATATTACTGAAAAATTGCCTTTTTATCTATGATAAAAGAAACCTCAGTATTTATTTACTCCTTTTTCTGCACTCTCTAACTTGACCACTGAATAAAAAAAACTGTCAGGAGACAGTTCTTCAGAAACTGGGTTCTGAAAATCATGTTTTTGTATGGCACATAAAAGACACAACATCCTCTTATTGCCACCAAAAAAATCTCATTAAATTCCCATAACTGGTGAAACTCACCATAACTGGTGAAACTCAGAAGTACTGAAAAATAAAAACACATGAATTTTGATCTTCCTAACTGCATTATCACATATACAAACATGGTGGACCGAAATCCTTAGAGAAGGACGCACAGAATACTTATGATGCACCTTACATCTAATATCTAGAAATATCTGATGTATTAATTTCTGTTTTAAGCTTCTTTTCCTTGTACATGCAAAATATACAGAAGACAGAAAAGAAAAATAAAAGAATGCTATATGTACACATTATTTCTATCCCATTTTGTAAAAACAACATATTTAAATATGAGATGTTTAAATATCCCCTCTGGATTTTTAGGGGGAGAAATCACCCCTCAGACATCAATCAACATGTGGCTTTTAGTACCAGATATACAAGTATCTTCCCCATTACTTTTACTCAAAATCCACTTTTACAACCTACTAAAGAAGTCACACTTTCTCAAACACATTAACTGATTCTTACTAAATAAGCCAACCAGAGTTGAGACCAACCAGCGTGAAAATAAAGCTCTAAAGTCACCTTTTAATTGACGCTGTCTTCAGACAAACCCTAGCTGGTGGCAGTGGGAGGCCACTTTTCTGACAACCATTTGACAACAGGTGCAGGTACTGCCTGTCCCTCCCACACAGAGGTACAGCTGGAGGGAGTGTCCTGCCTCACCCACTCCCCCACACAACACAGCTGCTCTCACACTTCCCAGAAAGACGGGCCTTTAAGACTAAGCTAATTTCTGCCTTTTCAAAAGAGGAAAAAAAAAAAAAAGCTGATGAATCCAAGCAGTACATTAGCAACAACCTTCAACAGTTCTATATTTCAAGAAAAACTGAAGAGAATGTCTTAGTAAAGAGACAACACACTTCTGTAGCCAGAAGGCCTGATGCAAATCATAAATGCATAAGAGATTCCCCAGTGGTCCCATATACTGTTCCAAGTGCTGAGCAAGTTACTAAGAAGTCAGAACTGACAGCAGTGAAAACTGTAAGTCACCTGAAGCCTCTAAAAGCCTCTAACATCACCTAGCGCACCTTTGGAAGTGGGTACTTAAGTATAGACTTTCTAAAATACCTAGGCAACAGGCTAGATGTCCAGTATCCAGAAAAAAAAAAAATAAAAAAAAAAGGAAAGCAAAAGAAGAGACAGGAAGCAAGTATTCAAGCATTCATCTCCTAACATCAACAGTTAAAGCCTTCTGACCCTACACTCTTTACTGAGTAGGTTCACAGATTTTGTCAAGAGACCGTATGACTAGATTACAAATGACCTACAGAATGTCATTATCTATGTAATTGAAAAGCAAAAAAATTACAGTATGACATCTGTGTAAGAAATTCTGATAACTGAAAGGTGTACAGCTCTCTAAATCATCCAAGGCAGTAGGGCAGAAATCTGACCTACAAATAAGCTGGTACAGAAATTAATGAGCTACAGAAAGTTGTGTAGAAATTATGAAGCATGTTGTTCTGCACCAGCCTTCCTAACATATCCTGAACATTACAATAAGTGTTTTGTAAAACAGAATTATTACAAATGGGGTTATTAAAATGCCCAGTCTTTCACATACACTCACTATCCAGGTAAGGAAAACAGCATACAATCCTTCCACCTTAAACTAAACATAAATGGCAACAGGGTTTTTCTCAAACTTCAGCAGGTATGCTCAGGGGCTACATTCACCAAGTATTTTCCTCCTCACTATAATCTTCATACTTCCATATTTATCCAGCTACCAACTGTAAAAAACACAGCTATATGCCAAGCAGACATACAGTCTAGTTACTAATGACTAAGAAAGCACATCAAAACAAACATCTCCACATGTGCCTCAATTTCCAGAGATGTTGAAAACATCTTCATTTCAAACTCTAGGAAAAAAGCACTTGTGTTTCAACACTGAGCATGTATGTTTCTTCTCTGATAATTTAAATAGCTTAACTGCTCTTCCTTCAGATCTCTGGAAAGGCACACCATGTGTCAGCTCCAAGGGGAAAAAAAACCACATTTAAAAAAAAAGATTATAGAAAAGGGATCATTTGAAGTAAGACTTTTGCGAAACAATCCACATTATTCATTATTAGTTTTGGGGTATGTATTTAACTTCCCTACCCCCCCCAAGCATTTTGCTAAAGGAGAAAAAAAAAAAAAATAGCCAAAGAAAATTAGACAATTGAGATTTGGGTCTGCAGCATAAACACTTTTCCTTTTAATATGCCCATTTCTGTTTTGCTTGTAATTCAGGCATTAGTCTTCTAGGACTAAGCACATTCACACTACAAAAAACACGTAAGCAAGAGTCTCCTTCAGCTGAAGACAAGCAATTTATAATAAAGCTCAACTTTAAAACAGTTTTAAACTGCTACCATTTTTTACACTTCTGACACAGAACACAGGATCTACATTTGTGTCCAGTAACATGAAACCAAGCATAAATAGAAGAAAGCTGAACCTCTCTGCAGGCTTGAAAAGATATTTAGTCATAACTAAAAAGAAAAACAAACAAACATCTTTATACTTCTGTTCCTGACTCTAATGATAGTGTTTTAAAAAAAAATCTGATTATAACATCCTTTTAGGGTCCAGCTTTTAAGAAAGTTACAAATGGAAAGAATTGCCAGAGGCACAACTGACAACACGCACTCTAATCCTCAACTCACACTTAGTTTGTACTTTGTCTTAAAAAACCAAACACACTACACCAATCAGCACTGTCCTAATTAAGACAAAGACAAAAGCTTTTATACAAAGTCTCCCCTCCCATGGACAACAGTACCTGTTTAAATAACAGTATTAGTTGCTTACTGTCACCTTAAGCTTTTCTGCAGGGCATCACTAAACAAAAATACCATTTTACCAAGCAAATCATAACAGAGACCAATGCAATCAAATCTGATGTTATCTGTTAAAATACAAAAATATGGGATCTTAAATGCAAACAGCAACTTTGGTTCTGGTGTTGCTCTCACATAGCAAAAGCTCCTGCAATAACAGCAAAACACACACTGATATAAAACTTCTTACAAAGTATAAATTTGTGAGCAAAAACAACATTAGGATTAAAACTCTTTGCCAGAGGCATTAATTCTTTTTTGTTCAAACAGAAGCATTTCACGAAAGTTATGGGATAGATATTTGACAGCAACATTGAACGAGAGGGCAAATTCATTTCAGCTTCCATGACCAAGAATACATTAACCAACTAATTTACCACCACTTACTTGCTAGCTTTTCTTAAAAAAAGCCTACAAGGTACCAAATTTATCCAAGCCCTGATAAACACTATTGCATTTGCAAAAGGAAAAATGCAAATTTAGGAAAACATCTCATTAAAAGTTACTCTGGCCCACAAGGAAAATAATTCCTAGAGGATTTGTTTGTACTACTTACATAGTACTGAGAGTACAAGTTGATACTGAATTTAGGTGAGATGAACAAGATTCAAGCCTTACATATGCAAACGTAAATTTCAGTTTTGGGCTCTTAAAATTAAGAAAGAAGTTCAGATTCCCAAATTGTGAACACAGTTAAACTTGAGCTTGGCTGTTTTTTAAATATGAAGGTCAACTACATATGCTATTCAAGTAGTTAATTCTCAGAAGTACAGTGAACGACAGCAACCAAGCACACAACATGATTTGGTGTGACAAAAAACAAAACAAAACAAAACAAAAAACCAAAAAAAAACAACAAACATTTTCTGAGGACAAGACAGACCACTTGACCACTTATTAATTTCTCTGGGGAAGTTACTGGTTTTTTAACGCAATTTCACAAAAGTACAATGTACATAATTCACATTAATCCTCTTAGTACGAGCTTTTAGGAAAGCATGTAAGAAATGCACAAAAACTTCAAGTCAGCATCTAAAAGCATTGGTTTAAAATTAAACAGTTAATTAAGGTTTCTCTCACTTGGATGGTCTGCTTACCTCTGGGGGGGGATATAAGGAGCAGATACTGTTGGCATAACCGTACAGGGTTCGACCACTGTTTTCTTGGCCTTTTTTGTCTTTTTTCTGACTTTTGATGTAGACCTAGCAGTTCTGACTGATCCCTCCTTTCTACAAACACCGTTTTTGATTTCAGCTTCTCCATAAATATTTAGAGGTCTCCGTGTGCAACCTGGTGGAGTATGTACATCGCAATAGGCAGTCTTTTTTACAGAAAATGTTGTCCCACTGCCAGTTAGTTCTTTCACAGGTTCCATTTTCATATATAGACCGGCCTTTTGAGCACACGTCACATGGAATGCAGTATAGCAGTTTGCTTTGTGGCACTGGATGCAGGCACCAACACCTTTCTGTTTACAGAGGTAGCACGTTAACTTCCATCTGGCTGGGGGAATGTTCCTGACACCATCAATTGGCTCAATAAAAACTGTATTGGCAAATCCAACTTCTGGAATCCACAAAGCACACACAACGTGTCCCCAACGATCATCATCAGTCTTTTTAAAGGCACCTCCCTTGTTTGGGCACAGCACACAGTCTACAGGCCGAGAACGGGACTGCAGACAGTGTCTGCAGAGCCACTGGCCCTCAGGTATATATGGCACCCCATAGCATTCCTGATGTACTGCCAAATTACACATATCACAAAACAGGATTACATTGCTGTTCTGACATTCACCATCCATGCATATACAACACACTGCATCTTCATCAATTAAAGACTGATGATCACCCTGTTTTTGGTTCTCACAGTAAGACTCTTTTTCAAACCTATCCATAAGGAATTCAAACATGTTTTGTGAAACAACTGACACCCCATCACTTTTCCGCTTCTCATTTATTATTTCTAACCACGCATAATCTTCCTCATCCATGTCATACTCAACTTCATTATCAAGTTCTTCTGCTGACTTCTCAATGAATTTGTAATAAACTGGAGGTCTCCGAGGAGCCGAAGGGGGACTGTATTCAACAATCCGTACTTTTGGTTCCGGAAGAGGAGCTGTTGTAGCAGGTATGCCATGTGAGCTCGGAAGAATTTTTCACTTTGTTATTTTTATGCCGTTTGCTTCTTAGACAAACTGGTGGTCTTTCACTATTTTCTTTATTGCTGTTGCATTCACTCATTTCCTGGGCTGTAAGATCATCTTCTAATATAATCTCTAAAGGATCAAAGATACTGATCCTGTGCAGGCGACCTTCAATTTCTATTTCAACCATTCTTTGAGCTTGAGCGTATGTCAAGGTTTCTCGTGTCGGGGAGTGCTTAATACTGCATGGGGAAGAAGAATGCCTTGCTGCCGATACTCGATGACATCTTCCTTTTCTCCTCATTTGGTAATGTTTACCTAAAATTAGAACAACAGTTAATATTATAAACTCCAAACATTCATATTAAAATATTAGTTTTATTATAAAAAGGGAAAAAAACCTTCAGTTCTATAGCCTCCAACCTATCTACTCAATTTAAAGAAAAAAAAGTCTATCACCTTAATAGAACTGCTCATACTGTTCGGTTCTCTGCATGAGAAAAACACATTTCAGAAGTACCAAAGGAAAAAAAAAAACATCTGTTACATTGTAAGAAAACCTTCAATACAACATTTCCCAATATGTTAAGGGTGTCTGCAGTTTGAAATTTTTTTCAACACCTACGCATTACTCTCTCCAGGTATCCCCACAAAAGAACAAACATAATCATAAAAGAAAAACAAGTTTTCCCCATGACTTTTTCCAGTGCAACTTTAAATAGTCATGTTAGCAACTACACCTATACTTAAGGTTAGAAAATCACACAAACTTCCAAATTAGACAGATATGCAGTCTGACAGTCCTTTACTTTTTTGCTTTTCTCTTCTTAATTCTTAGTGAGCCTGTTATTCTTTATAAAATGACAAAAACACAACTGAACTTGCAGTACCCAGTATGGCACCGTATGGACTGCACCTAGGAAACAATCCACCTGACTTACAGCGAAAACATGCTTCCTGCATGTTACATGTGAGTGTTCACACACTCTTCTCCCTCAACAGATTCTTTAAGAGTTGTTCTCAGAGCAAATGGGGTAGCTAAAAATCTGTCTTTAAATCCAGTCCCAAGATCTTTAACATAATTTTCAAGTTTATCACTTACTGAGAAAAGATTGCTTCACATACCATACAAAAAAAAAAAAAAAAAAAAAGATAGCTTTTCCTCCCCACCATGAAGCACCATGACTAGGACAAGCATGTATTTTGATCACACAATTTCTAATTGAAAGCTTCCGTACTCATGCCTTTGGCCATTTTAATGTTATTTTTTTTTCCCAGTGAGGGATGAAAATATTATAAAACCAACCGATAAAAGTTTAAAAGCTCTATCCCCCTCCTTCCTTCTTCCTGATACCTTCAGCTACAGGAAAAATGTTGATCTTTACTCACTGGCTTGAAGTATTACTAGAGCCTCACTGTTTCAATTCTGCACTTCAAGTCAGTGTTGTGTATTAGCTAAAACAATGCAACTAGTGTTAGCACATATTGCCAAAATCAGCATATATTGCCAAAATCGCAGGGAAACACAGAGATCAAAACACAATTATTGTTAAAGACTAGCATATCTATTTCAGGAAGAAAATACCAAGGACTGGAACAATTACATAAACTATTCCATGTAGTCTGCCTTTTGCTCAGTCTATGATGCCAATCTCTAAAGGTGCACCTTCAAAGTACTGAAGGAACTCCTTTTACAGGAAGGCTAAATAATTTAAGCAGCTAGCATTTAAACTAGTTCTTGAGAGGGTCTGATCTGGTCTCACAAACTGACCTTGTTTTCTTAATCTAAGCTGGTTTTATTACTCATGCAAGAATTGTGTTAATCATAGATCTGACTTTTACACAAATAATCCTTAACTCTTATTACTTGTTTTTATAGCACAAGCACAAAAGCAAACATCAGTGAGTGTTTAATCATGACAGACTCCTGATCTGCGCTATACAAACCACAGATGAATAAAAAAGGCTCCACCTCTTCAAACAAGTTTGGAAGAAATATTTACAATTCTGTAAAACAACACAGGATGAAATCATACTGATTTCTTAACTGCAGAAAAGTTTAAACCACTAATTTTGCTACAGAAGGTCAAATAACAAGAAACAAAGGAATACTGATAATTTAAGTGAAAAGTTAGTTTACAGTTTCACAAGAGATTTTATAATTCAGAGGCAAAAGACAACACAATAGCCTTTATTTCTGTTTATTATTGTGAACAAGTAACAAGGGATTCTTCAGCTAAAACACACTGACGCATCCTACAGATCACAATGGTTTTGTTTTATGGTATTTTTTTAATACCTGTTTTTAATGTAGTCACCAATCAAGAAACATAGTTTACACTGCATTTACCTCATATAATTGCAATTTAATGCTGTCTAGCTGTAAAAATCTGTTGTTTATTTTTTTTAAACATCCCTTCCTACATCTTGGCTGGTTATGTTTCTGTTCACAGTGGCTCATGATAGTGACTGTTTTGAACAAAATACTGGGGGGGGAGGAATGACTGGTAGCCTTCAGAAACAAAAAAATGGGCAACTTGTCCACACTTCACTGTATAACTTAACCCAGTATTGCAGAAAAACACATTGATGATAGGTTTCCAAGCTCTCCATCCCCCTCTCTTCTGGAGATTCTCAAGGATGGCTGCAAGCACACAGTAAGAAAAGGAAGAAAATATTTAAAAGCACACAAGTATTCTTACTTTAAGATTTAGGACTACTACTGTAAAAGTCAAATAAACGGTATGAACCAGAATGATAAAAAAAGATTCAGCTAACATCTAGGCATCTTCCCTGTAATACTCAACTGTAAATAAAGCTAAACCAGGAAGCAAATTACAGTCACAGTTAAACGCAGAATGGATATCCTACAAATCCAATGCCATGAACACAGAATTAGAACTGGTAGCACTCTGGTCAAATTTTGTAGAAACATAGTGTGAATAACTTAAATGCTCCAGAAGCCAAAGCAGTGTTTTGTTTTGTTTCTCCAAAATTCTTCTGTTTGCAAATGTCCTATAAATATTCCCGAGGGAGACCACATTCCTGCATAGCAAATTCATGACTGGCAAATGGTTTGCTTTTCATAGTTAATTATCAGACATCTTTTTTCCTTCCCCCCCTTGAGTATTCTGTAGATCCATAGGAATGAAGACAGATCTAAGTCTGAAAAAGAGTAAACTAAGACACTTTCCGTACAATATTAACAGAGATACCACACTAACAGTAAAATGAAATCACTTCAGCCTACTTCTGTTAGCACTTTTCTGCCTCTTACAATAATTTAAAGACTGCAGGAGATAAAACAGGCAAGCTACTCCCAGCTTTCCTCTCTCAAAATTACATCAGCTGCTTGGGAAGAAAGTCACGAAGGCAACTGCTTGCGCGGAATGCACAGTATGAGAGAAAAAGTACTTTTTGTCAAGGTGTAGGATAGCTAAAACCAAGAGGAAAGGTATGATAACATATGCTAACATTGATTACAAATTCCTGTTAAACTCTGTCCTGGTACCCTTCTCCTTTTCAAATAAATTGCCTTCGGTCCCTGGATCCCCTGCTCAATGCAAAAGGGAATTCCATTCTCAAAGGACACTCTCATGCAGACCATTAGAAAGATTAAGGCAGAGGAATGCTCTTTAGTCCAAGACAACGAGGGAGGGTGAGCAAACAGCGCAGACACGCTCGCGTCGCGGGGCGGACACCACCCACAGCTTCAGCGCTGGAGCGCGAGCA